GTACCTCCACTGATCATACTGGTTTTTTTCTCTAAGGATTGTTTTGGATTCTTGGGGTCTTTATGACTTCAAGTAAGGTTTTGGTTAGTTTTTGTAACATGATTAATAAAACCCATGAACAGTTTTTGGGGTTCAAACTGAAGATCAGAAAAGCAAAGCAGTCAGCCACTAGCTCTTACCTCTACCTCAGTCCAAAAAGGGTGATCCTGTCTCCAGGAATCCTCAAAGTGCAATGCAGACTGCACTGCTCTCCATCAAGCCTCAGACTGCCATCCCCCTAGATCCTGACTCCTCTCTCCCTCCTTATATTCCCCTCTCTGACCATCCAGTTTTTGCTGTCCATATACATCTGAGTATGGACCATTTACTGGATTATGGTTGACTGACCTACCAGTGGCATACCCTTAAAGAAAGTGACTGTTTCTTCCTCAGAAGTCTTTAACTCTTTGTTGTGGATGAAAATTTCTGTCCTGCCCGGTCCCGCAGCCATTTAGTCCCAAATAAATACTTAGATGCTTATATTAATTATAAAATGTTTGGCCTATTGCTCAGGATTCTTATTGGCTAGCTCTCTCTTAGTCATTAACCCATTTCTATTAATCTGTGTATCTCCATGTAGTCTTGGTTCCTGGGCATCCATCTTACCTTCCTTGTAGCTACATGGCATCTCTCTGACTCCACCTATTACCGTACTCTAGCCCTGTTCAGATTTCCTGCCTGGCTAAATCCTGCTTGTCCATTGACTAAAACAGCTTTACTCATCAATCAATAAAAGGAACATATATTCTCAGCATACAGAAGGATGTCCACCATCACTCTGTAGCCCTTCAGCTAAGGGTAGAGGTTGTGAGTCCTTCCCACTCCATGCCGGAATCAAGTTGACTAGCTTGATCTTACAGAGATCTTATTCAGGCAACCAACACTGCTGTGAGTTCATGAGTGCAGTGAGCCTGTCATGTCCAGAAGACAGTTTTTCTCTGGTCCTCCCCGATCCTTCTTCTTCCACCAGCGTATCTATTCTTCTGCTGTCCTTGACCTTCACTGTAGCCAAGTGTCTGCTCTGGCTCCTGCTCTTCTCGTCCTCAGCTGTCCTCGTCTCCACTGTCTTCCAGTCTTCTTGGGTCTCACTTTGTTTTGCATTTTCATAAGTGGATGCTTCTCTAGTGGTCAAGGGCTTCCTGGGGCTGGAGGTTAAACCCGGGAAAACGAGAGAGCCTGTGAAGAACTTGTGGAATGGGACTGGAAGGGTGCTTTCAGCCCAGGAGTCAGAGGAGCACAGTGGTAAGGCTGAGGAAAAGGGAAGCCGTCAGAGAAGGAAGGACACTACTGACAGAGGTTGCTGCATGGAGGCCAAGGAACGTTAGGACCTGAAGTTTGGCTCTTGGGTCATCCCTTCCATGCCTGGGTCCTTTGAGCTCAAACCGCGAGGAGAACAGGAGTTGAGAGCAGAGATGAGTGGAACTGCCCTCTTCCTCCTCCTTCCCCTCCTCTCCTTTCTCTTTCCATCTCTTCCTGGCACTATGCCAGCCAGGTTTTTGTCTCCACTACAACTCTTGTCGAAGTTGCGGTAACTTCCCCGGTGCCTAACCCAGTTTCAGCTGCACTTCCGTCATTATTATGGTCCTCCTCCTCTCTTCTCTTCTCTCCCCCTCACTCCCCGCCCCTTTATTCAGAAAGATTTTCTGCCAGTCCCTCAGCTTTGCGGTTATTTCAGTGTTATTTCATTTCCCTCTTTGTTTTGACTGCTGGATTATTCTATCTTCTGTGACTTCTCATCTTTTAAAAAAGCCTCCTAACTCTGAATTCCTCTGCACGACTCCTTTGTTTGGTTGTAGCACCAGGGAGAACTCTAGTGCCTTTCCTTTGCTTGCATTTCTCTTTCTGCTCTTCCCGGAGTCCACGTTAGCCAGACTTTTGTCTCTATTCCTTCAGAAAAACAGCTCTTGTTGAGGTTGCAGTGACTTCGTGGCACTAAATCCCCTTGTCAGTCCTCTGTTCTCATTCTGCTTGACCTGTCAGCAGTATTTGACACTGTTGTAAGTTTCTCGTGGGTCAGATGTGCAGGTCCTTAGTGCCCCATCCTTGCCAACTGCTTGTCTGGTAGCCTCTGTGTTGATGCTGAGCATCTGAGAGTTGCCCTTTGTTTTCAGACTTCTCTGCCTGCTTTTGCACATCAATCTTGGGACACTGTGTGTCATCTGCTGAATAGTTCTTATTTTTTGACTTGTAACCTAGCCTTTCCCTCTGGAAAGTATAGATTTATATACAGACCTACTCACTCAGCTTTTCTCCTTCATAGTGTATACCTCAAACTCAGCAGAGCCTGTTCCTCCTCCGGACCATTCCTTTTGTAATCTTCCCTGACTCAGGACTTGGCACCTCAGTCTTTCCCAGGACTAGAACTCTGTGTTTATTTTATGAGTCTTAGCAGGCCTGCTTTCAAAACACATTTCTTAAAGCCTCACTCCACAGGTCTGAGTGAGGTCTCTTCTGCATCGTTTTGTGCTCAGTTCTTTTCTGGTCGCTGCTTCTGTCCTGGCACCTGGGGTGAGTTGAATCTGATCATGTCACTCCTCTGTTCACAATCTTGCATGGATTCCTGTTTCCCTCAGGATCAGAACCAACCTGTCAGTTACCATGTGTAAGTACCAGCACCTGGAACAAAGTCCTCTGTGCCGGGGACTCCTGTTAATCCCTAGGCTCATCTCTTGTTCTTCCCTCTCATTTGAACACAACCGAGCCATCTTGCCTCGGGCCCCTGACATGATTTCTCTATATCACACACTGCTAGTCTTGTTCCTCTTGACCCATCGTTCTTTCTCAAATGACATCCTGTTGAGATGAGCCTCTGTTGTTAATGGTTCTCTCTATTTTCCTAGGCCCAGACTAACCATCCTCAAACACACTGATATCTATTTGTATTGTTATTTCTCTCTCTGGAATGTATCACAAGGGTTCACCTTTGCTCGCTAGTGTCCCTAGTTTAGAATGGGTTCCTTGATGTAGTATCCCCTACAAATCAACTCAGGAAGCCTTTGTCAGTTACCTGACATCTGACTTTAGCATTATGATTTATTGTTTTACTGCCAAGTTATTCCTCTTTCCTTGCTTTTGGAGCCTGACTTCCATTGCATTGTAGACCATTATTTCTTTATGTTTCTTCGCCATTTAGTTTTCCTTTTGACCCATTTTCTGTACTTCAGAGGACTTCAGGAGGAGGTTGTAACTCAGCTAGCATCCTCTTGTTAGCCTGTGTTCCTAACAGTCTTCAGGCTTCCAGAACAGGTGTTAGGATTGTCTTTCATTTCTCTCCCCCATGTACTGAGAATGTTACCACTCAGTTTGTAGTGCTCCTCTCCATTTTCAGTGTTTTCTGAGTAGTATCATTACAGGCACCAAGTCTTTGTTACCATATCCCACAACTTATCCTGACAGTTGCATGCTCAGGATGCTTTCTAGATTTCAGCACTCTGAAAGTCTTCATATTTTTTCTACATGCTGCATAAGCTTGACGGGGGCTTTATTTGTAGCATTTAATCTTTGATGGATATCCTGTTTCTTGACCTTCCCCTGTTTACCCACTTGTTGCCCCAGCTCTGACAAGAGGAGTGCAGTGTAAACATAATAACCCAAATAAAAATGGGCAAAAGACCTGAGTGGACAATTCTCAAAAGAAGACATACAAATGGACAACATGTGTATGAAAATGTGCGTAACATCCTTTATCATAGAGAAATGGAAAGGAAGAATCACTTCATACCTGTTGGAATGGCTGCTTCCAAAGAACAAGAGAGAATGCTGTTGAGGACATGGAAAAAAGGAAGCCTTGCATACCACTGGCATCGAAACAGCATGTTGTACCCTCCAGAATGCAAAGCAGATAGCCCACGTGGTCTGCCTCTTCTATTCTGGATTCACATTCAAAGGAAATGAATTGGTTTATGAGAGACAATGTGCTCAGGGTTCACCATGTCAGGTTACAGAGGCAACTGATGCATGCGTCAGTAGGATAAAGAAAATGTAATCCTGACATGTACAATGTAGCCATTTGGGACAACAAGGCAAAGTCTGGGGATATTCTGCCAAGTGAAGTCTGCATATATAGAAAAACAGTCACTGAATAATCTCATTTGTATATGGCATCTAAACAATTTGAGCTCATAGAGGTAGAGAGTAGAATAAACAGTTCAGCCAGGTTGAGGTGTAGCCAGTGGTTGCCAACATCCATAAGAGGGTGAGTTTAGTAGGTCTACCGTGTGACATAGTGAGTGATGAAGAACAGTGCACTGTGTGTATGTTAAAAACCCTGAGAGTATATTGTAAGTTCTAATCAGTAAAGATGGTAAGCTGATGTGCTCATGCCTCCACTAATTGCGCAGTGAGGGAGGGCACTGCTATGCATGGGGGTAGCAGAACCTCAGGTCATCTATAGTAATACTGTACAGTTTTTATTGGATGAAGTAAATGGAATTTATCTTTAAGACTTAAACCACAGATGAATAATTTTGATATGAGGTGTATTTATTGAAGTTATTTTTATCTGCATTGATCTGTGATGCTTCTTTTATGCTAAAGCTTCATCTGACTGACTGTCAGGATGGGTTACCAGTACATCCTTTATGCATTACTGAAGCTCTTAGCATGCTTTGATTTCCAGGAGGGAAATGTGTGCTCATTGATTTCAGTTTTCAGAATTGTTGATAATGGCTTGACTCTCTACCCTTCTACATAACTTTGAAAGACATTTGATCAAGTTATGAAAAGAGAAACTCTCTAGGGGGCTTTCTCACCAAAATAGTATCAAACTAGAATACTGCAGAATTTCAAAATTGACATTAATTAATAATTTTTTTAAATAAAAATGTTACATTTGTGAAATGTTGAAAAGTTTCACTTTTTAATAGTTTAGATCCTTTAGTTTCTTAGATACTAAGGATTGTATCTTTTGTTATAAAAATGACAGACAAAAAATGTAAATGACCTGTTAATTTTCATTTCAGATATGTTTTCTTCTTTTTGCCATTCTCTACATTGTTTCCTACTTCATCATTACAAGATACAAGAGAAAATCAGGTAAGTAGAAGCAGGTTTGTTGCAGCTTTCATCAGAGCTGGGTGTGTGGGTGGTATATGGGCTCCACCTACACACTGTAGTGCAGCCATGCTGAATATGCTGCTGGCTGAAGTAAACAGTTGCCTGGTACTAAACTCTAAAAATAACCCCTAGGGAACCTGACTATGCTCAGGGTCACCTTACTAGACCAGAGTCCTTGCTTTATCACACTTTTCATGTCCAGCTAAGAATAGCATTGGCTGCTTAGTACCTGGGAAATCCAGAGTTTATTAGGGTATTTGGTTCACTGTGGCATCCTATTCACCCCAGCCTCCTTAATTTTCTCACTACAGAATTGTCTCATCATTTCTGTCTTTCTGTCTCTCTCTCATTTAAGAAAGATGTGTTTGTTTATTTACTCATTTTTGTTTTATGTGCTATGGGTGTTTTGCCTGTATGTGTATTTATGCACTGTATACATGGCTCATGTTTGCAGAGGCCAGAAGAGGGTGCTGGATCCCCAAGAGCTGAAGCTACAAATGGCTTTGAACCTCCATTTAATTGCTGAGAATCAAACTTGGGTCTTCTGCAAGACCAGCGAGTGCCCTTAACTGCTGAGCCATCTCTCCAGCCACTGTTTTCCTTCTCCAAAGCAATGTAGAATTTAGAGTATCCATAATTGTACCAGTATTTATTTATATAGTATCCTTGTATTATTTCATTTTGTTTTGAGTTAATCAGAGGGGTTTTCTTGTCTTTATTATTTTTTTAAGCAGCTGATCAATTCACACATTTTTTAGTTAGAGTTTTATATGTACTTCTGTTAGTACTCAGCTTTTTAAAAAGATCATAATATTTCCTACCTGTGGTGCTGAGCTGCTGGCTACTGCTCTATGATACTTAAAGGTTCCATGTATTAAAGATTCTTTGATATAATATTATCAGCTTAAAATTCATCAAACTAGAGAGAAATAAAGGAACAGCCCTTGTTGCAGTATGTTGTTTTGGAGCTGTCATCTCTATGATGGTTTAGAAGTATCCTGAATCATGTAATCTGCCAGAAATGTGAAGATCTGCAGATTCAAGACAGTGCCTCAGTTATTTTTAAAGGTACCTGGTCACATGGCTTCATAGATTACACACATAGGAGAAAGGAGAGAGTTTGAGTGAAAAGTATAAACATATTGTTTAAGGGGAAGTTAAGGGTGACACACAGGGAAACTGTAGACTCAGATGATGCTCAGACTAACCCAGCAGTTTCAGGGAGTAAGAAAGACTACAGACCTTGCTGGTGGAATAGAATGGATGTGCATAAGGAGGTAGTGAGCCTTTTCTCCAGATAGGGCAATTGGGTTAGGTGTGGGGGTATCAGGATGGAAATTGTGAGTGTGATTTTTGTGGTGTCTTTGACTGTAAAGTTATTTTGGACAGACTGTAATTCATGATAAAGACTACAAAGAATGGCCAAAACTCACCACTGACATTGAGGCAAGTGAACTATCAGAGGCTCACAGACCCAAGGAGAGCCTTGCAGGACATGAGACGGAGCTGGAAGGACTGGGAGGGTTTTGCAATGTTTGTGTACTTAGGCAGTCTTTTTGACTTGCAAGTTTATGAACAAGGACAAAAGAGACGGTGGCCCAGAGGCCTGAGAGAGGAAGAGGAGGGGGAGGAGGTATCCTAATGAAGTCTGCATGGTACTTAAAGAGATACAGAGAGTGTATTTTTTCTGTCTGTAACTTGGACAATGCTTTCCAGTTGTTAAGATAATGCTATCCAAGGTAGTTTAGAATGATTTAAGAAAACATTAGTATTTCATTTACTAATAAAAATTCAAATTAAAGAAAAACAGTTAAGTTCTAAGCGTATGGCATTTTATAATAGAAATGTCTGTTGGTTTTTAACAGCCAGAATATTTCATTCCCAAGTAGTATATACTGACATTGTCTACCTGCATTTCACAATCATCCTGTGGTTCTCAGTTTTATTTTCTTGGGACTGTGTGTTTGTAAAACTTTAATGTACATGTATCAGTCAGTTATTCAAGTTTTTTTTTAAATCACAACTCATAATGAAATTTACATTTGGATCATTGTTGAAATATTTACAAAATGCTCTTTGAAGGTCTTTCATCTAGTAATTTAATTTTTAAAACTTTATATTTTTGGTACTTTTTTTGATAAATTCATGAAATATTTTGTTGGAGATAAAATAGTAACACTATAAACTGTTTTTTTTTTTTTTTGCAGATGAACAAGAAGATGAGGATGCTGTAGTCAACAGGATATCGTATGTATTTGTCTTAGTTAGGTTTACTATTGCTGTGAGGAGACACCATGACCACAACTCTTATATATAAAAACATTTAATTGATGTGGCTTGCCTGCAGTTTCAGAGGCTCAGCAGGTTATCATCGGGGTGGGGAGCATAGCAACATTCAGGCAGATGTGGTGCTGGAGCCGAGAGTCCTACAACTTGACTCAGAGACAGCAGGAAGTCAACTGACTGTCATACTGAATGAAGCTTGAGAAAAGAGACCTCGAAGCCCACCCCCATAGTACACACTTTCTCTAAAAAGGCCTTACCTTCTAATAGTGCCACTCTCGTTGGGGGCTGTTTTCTTTCAAACCACCACAGTATTCTAATTTTACTGCTTATAGTTTTGAAGTTAGAGTCGGAAGGAAATAATTGCCTAAAATAGTAATTCTTATTAATCATATTTTTTTTCTTTTTTTTTTCTCAAGACAGGGTAAATCTGTATTGCTTTGGAGGCTGTCCTGGAACTCACTCTGTTGACCAGGCTAGCTTCGAACTTGAGATCCGCCTGCCTCTGCCTCCCGAGTGCTGGGATTAAAGGCGTGCGCATTAATCATATTCTTAAAAAGTACATGTAAGCAAATACACATGGTTACTTTATAACTGATTGTCTCTGAGTGTGACACATGCCTGTAATCCTAATAATGGTAAGGGCGAGGTGGATTGATCAGGAGTTCCAGGCTAGCCTCAGATACGTAGTAAGTAAGGCCAGCCTAGGTTACATGTGACCACATTCCTTTCCCCTGCTAAGTATTTATTTAAAGAAATGGCAGATTTTAGCCAGGCAGTGGTGGCACCACCTTTAATCCTAGCACTTGGGAGGAGTTCCAGGTTGGCCTAGTCTACAGAGCAAATGCCAGGAGAGGGTCCAACGCTACACAGAGAAATCCTGTCTCGAAAAACAAAAAACGAAACAACACAAAACAAGTTAGATTTTATCGTCTGGAGACTTAATGAAGGAAAGAGCTTAAAGGTGGAAGAGTTGTTTAAGAAGCACCGAGTTTGCTGAGTGGGTACAGACTTGTGGTCTCAGCACGCTAGTGGTAGAGGGAGGAGGACTGAGAGATTCAGGACAGCCTGGGCCACACAGCAAGACCCTGAGTAAAAGGGAAAACAGTCAAGCTGTCAGCCATTTACTTTGTGTCCTGAGCAGACTCTGAGGCAAGCAGCAAGTAGACTTTCTGGTCAGAGTGACACATTTGCCCAGTGAGAGCACTGAGGGGCCTGATTGCTTTGTAGGTTCCTTATATTTGTGGAGGAGATATGATAGAAATGTACTTTAATTTTTAAAGTATCAAACTGAATGGCAAACACTTAAGTTCTTTCTATTAGATTTTGCCTATTAAAATGTGTCTGGGGCCAAAGAGGTGACTTGGTGGTTAAGAGCACTGACTGCTCTTGTAGAAGACCTGGGTTTGGTTCCTATCACCCACATGATAGCTTGCAACCATCCCTAACTCCAGTTTCAGGGACCCCAAAGGGTGGCAAAGTCTTCATGAGAGTGTCATTGTCACCATAGATTAAGAGGGTATCCATGCCAAAGGGAGCCTGCCAGGGGTGTGTTGGAGCTGAGTTGGGGAAGGAGGATGTCTTGAGTGTCAAGCCCATTCAATCCAGAATGGGGAGCTACCCAGACAGGAAGGTATGTATCTGTGTATAATTAGAATCAGTATGGAAGGAAATTGGTTCCTTGTTCGGTGGGGAGGCTTAATTAAAGTCAGTAGGAACCAAAAATTAAGGGAAAAAGAGAAAACAAAAATGATCATTGAATTGTTGGTTTGGAGTTGGGGTTGTGTCCTTATGAACACATGGTTTCAACACCTGCGAGTAGTAGCACTGCAGTATAAAAGTGAGTGAGGTCATGTGTTTGTACATGCAGATTGCACACTATATGCCACAGCTTGTCTGTCTCCTGAGATCTCCCAGCCGCAGGGATTTGATAGGCCATGTTTAAATAGAATTTTCCACTAAGTAGAACCAGGACTCCTTAAAGGGGGATCATAGAAGGGCAGGATAGGGAAAGGCCCAGGTTAATTTTATATTTTACTTGTACAGAATATAAGAATGTAAGAATTATTGGGATATTTTAAAAGAAACAGTTCTTTAAGGGTCCTTACACCAAATTGGGGACTATTTAAATATCAAAATAAATGATTGTAATGGATTTGAGCCACTGCATATAGTTGGACAGTCTTGAGTCCATTCTGATAGAAACCAGTAGATTGGAAGTTTGACAAGGACAGGTTTCTCTTGTAGTTTCAAACTTATCTTTCCACAAAATCCTAACTGAAAGGAAGAATATCTTAGAGTAGACCACCCTGGTAGTCACTGCCTTGACCTGGGACCAAGGAGATGGGGTCAGTAGAGAGACAGCAACTCCTGTGGCCTGCAGAGAAAAATCACAGAGCAGCAGCTTGTGATAGTCCTGCCTTGTGGGCATCAAACTCCATCTGTCTAAGGCTGATTTCCTCATTTCCCCAGTCAGCCTGCCTTTAGCACATCACAAGACACCAGACTCCCAGGTTAGGCCCCTGGCCTCTCCATCGCCTTTGACTCCTCTCCAGCTTCTTGTCAGGAGCCATGCTGGTTTTGTGTTCAGAGTCTGTCTTGTCTTACCATTGCCACTTCAGTTCTCCTTACTTGTTTTTATTTTCTATAGTGCCTATGTTATGCAGTTATCCATTTAATATTTTATTGTTTGTTGTCTGATGCTCTCATAGCATTAAGCGATGCTCTGTTTAGAAGCCCTATGAAGGCAAAAAATGTCTTGTTTACTGTTTTAACATGCCAGGTACAGTGCTGGTTCAGAATCAATGTTGTTTAGTGAGTGAGTATCACCCAGCGATTCCTCCTGGGTCAGTCTGTGGTGTGTGCATCAGCAGAAGCCCTTTCAGGTGGTTGCTTGTGTGTGATCCTGATGGTAATACATTCTGATGTTCCCACTGGTTAAGGAGCACTGGTCAGAGTGAGCACTTGGGGGCTGAATTCATGAAGCATGCCTTTATTGATTAGCCAGATAAAGGCTGTGACAGTTACTTTTCTCACCACTGTGACAAAACATCAGGCAGAAGCTAATGAGGGAGGAAAGGTTTATAAACATTTATGTAGTTCACAGTCCACAGTGTTAGCAGTGTATGCCAGTGTTTTGTTACCTGCAGATGGACCAGAAAATAGAGCAAGCATATAGGCTGGAACCAGAGGTTGATGAAACCTAGAGACCTATGATCTTTGTCAGCCAGGCCCCATTTCATTCAACTATAGCAGTTTTTAAAATGGTGCCACAAACTGTGGAATGTATCTTCAAAATGTAAGCCTGTGGGGACATTTCAGATTCAAACCAAAACATTTAGAATGACATATTGATACATTTCATAGAGAATGTAGAAAGAAAGGAGGGAATGCTGAAGAAGTTGTAGAATTTCAAGAAGGAAATATTTATCCACTTGAAATATCCAAGACCCAACATTCAAGGTCCTGAATCTTGGATGTATGTGTGGCGGGCTTGTTGAAGTAATTTACTATGACTTGTAGATGGTGGCTTTCTGAGCCACTGAAAGCAGTTAGCATCCAAGTAGGTTCACACACTCTCCTGCTTACCGAGGATAGTCACAAATGGCAGATATTCATATTTTTGTTTTATTACTACCATAATCATAGAAGGTACAATATTCTGGATGTAGGTTTTTTTCCCCCACTCCATTTAGAAAGTGACATTTCTGAAAGGGCGTGTTCTATGATTACACAAGCAGTGTCTACACTATAGTTTTCTAGTTCAGGGTCTTATTTTAAGAACCCCTTGTCAGTATTAACTCTACAGGAACCTTTTATGAGTGGCTCTTCATAGTCAGCAAAAGTGGTTTTCTGCTTTCTGGACAGGTCTATCACAGTAACAAAGTGTGGAGTGGATGCTCCATAGCTGTTGAAAAACAGCATAATAGTAATGGTGACATATACATTAGATTTTCTGGGCCATTTGTGACCTACTGATTTATCTCTTTGTCTCATAAGTGAACTCCTTTTGTCAGGTATTGGATTTGGAAGTTATGTTGGCTTGATATGTAATCAAGTGTTATGGGAGGTAAGACGAAAGAGGAGCTGATTTTATGGAGAGGAACAAGAAGGTAGGAATTAAGGGACACAAGCAAGTGGCATTTGAGGTCTGTCTTGCTATTCAGGCAATCTGTCATGTGGAGTGTTGTAGGGATACAGAGAGAGAGAGAGAACAGCCTGTGGGCAGAGGCTTGGAAACTACACAATCCATTGAGGGTTAGGAAACAGGTTGGGGAATAAGTGTAAGATGAAATGTGTCCTGCTGGGGGACCCAGGGTATTGGGAGGCTGTGCAGTCCCTGGGATGGTGAGTATTTGGATTCGACCTTGGCTTTGACATTGGCAGGAATGATGCTAATCAGAGTGATGGTTCTCTCTGGGCTGGAACTGGCTAGGTGAGCTACTTTTCTGAGTACTTTTCCAGGACACGTGCTGTTCACTCTTTGGATCAATTCAAGATGCTCCTGTGTCTGAGTTAGGCTTTGTTTGGAGTTTTCCCATTGATCTACATTTAATAGTTGTTGGCCTTTGATTTACCAAGCTCAGGGGGTATCCAGGGTACTTGTGGCTATGTAGGTCTGCGTTTCTGTTGTTTGCCACAGGATGGCACTGAGTGCAAGGTTACTTGATTAAATTCACGGTGAAACATTTACTATGACTTTTGTTGGTTGTTTTCAAGATCTGTCTGCCTCTACCTCCCAAGTGCTGGGATTAAAGGCATGCCCCACCACTGCTTGGCCTTACTACTATAACTTAAAAAAAATCTTACATTTATTTTCACATTCTTTGAATATTAACTTCCGTCTTTCGGATAGTCAAATTCTATCTTTAATGCTTATAAGGTTCCTTTGCCATTACTGCTGCTGTGTCTGCAGCCTATCTGCCGTCTTTCTTCGTTCCTTCCCCCCCTTTTTCCTCTCTTCTCTTTTCCCTCCCTTCCCCTTCCCCTTCCCTTTCCCTTTCACTCCTTTCCCTCCTTCTCTCCCCTTCCTTCCCCTTTGTTTTCTGAGACAGGGTTTCACTATGTTCCCTAGCTGGCCTGGAACTCTCTATGTAGACTAGGCTGGCTTGAACTCACAGAAGTCCTCCTTCCTTTGTCTTGCTATTTATTCATTTTTAAAAACATTTTCAAAATTAGGTGTTTGTTATAAAAAAATTTAAAGTTTTTCAGAAATGTGTAACTGAGAAGTGGAAGTCCCTCATGACTGCACTGTGTTCTGTGGGTTGTTAAAAATGATGATGGATTTTGGAACAACACATTTCCTGATGATGTGTAAGCATTTCTTGGTGTGAATAGAGAGCCGGCTTTGTATTACTGTCAATGTTTTTCTTCAGTTTGCTTTGTTGAGTCAATTTATTTTAGACCCTTTTTACATATTGAAGCTGTATTATTTAAGAAATATTGAAGTAGTGTTTGAAATATTGATTAGTATTATTTACTACTTCTCTGGTATTTACTACTTTAATTTAACCTTGATTAATGAGGTATCAAGGCTGGTGAGATGGGTGTCTGTCAAGGTACTTGTTCTGTAAGCCTGGATATCTGAGTTCAATATTGGAATCAGTGTAAATGTAGAAGGAGAAAACAGACTCCACATAGTTGTCCCTGACCTTATATGCATGCTATTTATTTCACCCTCCCCACTCTAGTCTCTCCCTGTCCTCCTCCCCCTGTCACACACACAATAATGATAATTTCTTAAAACTGTACAGCTCTCTCTCTCTGTCTCTGTCTCTCTGTCTCTGTCTCTCTGTCTCTGTCTCTGTCTCTCTCTGTCTCTGTCTCTCTGTCTCTTCTCTCTCTGTCTCTGTCTCTGTCTCTCTCTCTCTTGTTATGGATCCCACCTGGTTGCACTGTCCAGATCCTATGCACTCGGGTTGTCCCTCAGTTGCATGTCTGTAATGGGATTCTTCTGTAATATACTGTCTGTTGCTTTCCTGTTTACTGCCTTCCAGACCCCCAGTGATGATGCCTCTTCTCTCTTGCAGGTTGTTTCTGAGCACCTTCACTCTAGCAGTTTCAGCTGGAGCTGTTTTGCTTTTACCCTTCTCAATCATCAGCAATGAAATCCTGCTTGCTTTTCCTCAAAACTACTATATTCAGTGGCTAAATGGCTCCTTGATCCATGGTTAGTATATATTCCTTAATATAATCCTGACTAATGCTTGAATTTTTTAAGCTGGAACATAACTTTATTTGTTCTAGGGAATTGGCTAGAGTCCTCTCAGAACCTCTGAAACTGCTTCTTGGTGCCAGCAGTCTTAGTGACCTTGAGCACATCGAAGCGCACAGTCTTGCTCAGGGGCCTGCACTCTTCCAAGGTGATGATGTCGCTCATCTGTACATCCCTGAAATGGGGGACAGGTGCACAGACATGTTCTTGTGGTGCTTCTCAAAGAGATTGTACTTTCAGATGTAATGGAGATAGTCCCAGCAGATGACGGTGGTCCTCTGCATCTTCATCTTGGTCACACCAGACAGGATCTGACCTCCGTTGGAGACGTTACCAGTGAAGGGGAATTTTGTGTCTATGTAGGTGCCCTCGATGGCCTCCTTGGACATCTTGAAGCCTAGACTGATGTTTTTGTAGTATAGTACTGAGGGAGTTTTTCTTTGCTGGTTTCTCACAGCAGAACCGCTTCCTGTTTTGAAAGATTGTGGGCTGCTTTTGGTAAGCACGTTCAGTCTGAATGTCCACCATCTTCCTGGCAGCCTGAGAAAAAGAATAATGCTTGAATTTTTAACTACACTGTTGAGTTACAGGGTTTTCTTAGTTTCCTCCACAATTTGTAATTTCTTCCCGTAAACTGTTGTCTTGTTAGGGTTTCTATTGCTGTTATAAACACCAGGACCAATAACAACTTGGGGAGGAAAGGATTTGCTTCAGATCACACTTCCACATCATAGTCCATCATTGAGGAAGGCAGGACAGGAACCTGGAGGCAGGAGCTAATGTAGAGGCTATGGAGGAGTTCTGCTTACTGTCTTGCTTCTTAGGGTGTACTCAGCCTGCTTTCTTACACATTCCAAGACCACCTGCCTAGGGGTGTCACTATGCCCATTGGACTGACACCCACATTAATCACTAATCAAGAAAATTCCCCACAGACCTGCCTACAGGCCAATCTTTTGGAGGACTTTTAATTAATATTCCCTCTTCCTACATATGGAAGGTTTATGTCATGTTGACAGAAAAATTAACCAGTACAACTGTCAAAGACCTCTGTGAAGTGAGAAACTAGCTTTTATTTAACATTGCTAGTTTTAGTTGGGTATTTTCCTTTACTTCACTAAGAAACAGTTCTTATACTTACTATAAGTTTTGCACTTGAGTGTGTGTGTGTGTGTGTGTGTGTGTGTGTCTGTCTGTCTGTCTGTTTTGAAATAGTGTCTCACACTACAACCTCAGCTGGCCTGGACTTTGCTTGTAGGTCTTGAACTCATGACAGTTCTCCTGTTTCAGCCTTTCAAGTGTTGGGATTACAGATGTGAGCTACTAGCCTGGGTATTGACTTGATTTTGATTCATTTAAATATTGTATGAAAAGACTTTTTGGTTCATCTGAATATGTCAGAGGGCCTCAATTTCCACTGAAGACTGGATAGAGCAGGGGATACAGTTGTTATTTTGTTTTCTTAGCCATTTTAAAACATGATAGAATAAAAACACTGTAAAGTTAAATTTCTGATGTGATTTTAAAAGCAATGATGGTATCTGCATATGGTAACACACCCCTTTAATCCTAGCACTGGAAGACAGATGTATGCAGAGTTCCAAGTTATCTAGGACTAGATAGTGAGACCATGTTTTGCGCTCTCTCTCTCTCTCTCTCTCTCTCTCTCTCTCTCTCTCTCTCTCTCTCTCTCTCTCTCTCTCTCTCACACACACACACACACACACACATACACACACACATGCACACACTCACACATGCATGCACATGCACACAAGACTGTACAGATCACAAGGTCTCTTTCCCTTGAAGTGGGGTAGATCTACAGTGCAACTTTGGGCAGGCCACTGTGTTGTCTGTCCTCAGGTCACTACTCTCTTAAGTAGAATAGTAAATGCACTTTGCACTTGCTTTTAGGAATATATCTAATAGAAAATACCTGCCTTTAATAGGCACTTAGTATGTGATAGATGTCGTATGAATTTATTTCTATGTACTAAACTATAGTCTCTGCTATATGGTGTCTGATAGACTGGATTATGACTCTTGGATACTTGGATAGCTTTCTTACTCTTCCTGTCCATACCATTCCTGTTTTCTTAGTGTTGATTTTTGTGACTAGTCTTGTTAATTATGGTATTATTACTGTCAAGCTATTTTATTATGTTTATATAATTTGATAGTTATATTGGAGATTAGATACATTGTTTATGAACGCCAAAGGCAGATAAAATTGGGACACCTCAATTGGAGATATTTTTGTGTGGACACAAATCATTTCCCTTATCCCAGTGAAGATGTTTTATAATAGTGGAAACAGTCTATGAAACCATATCTTGAAGAATAGTCAGTGACAGGAATTTACCTTTTTTTTTTTCAAGACAGGGTTTCTTTGTATAATCTTGACTGTTCTGGAACTCTTCATGTAAACGGACGTTTCTTTCCATCCCGCCAGTTCCCAAATAAACACTCAGAAGCTTAATATTACTTATAAGTATTCAACTAATAGCTCAGGCTAGTTACTAGCTAACTCTTACACTTAAATTAACCCATAATTCTTTTCTTTGCTTAACCTTGGTACCTTTTTTAATGGCATTCTCATCTTGCTTCTCGGCATTTTGCTGGCAGCTCTCTGACTCCAACCTTCCTTTTTCAGATTTCTCCTAGTCTGACTTTTGAGCTCAATCTCTTCCTGCCCTGCTACCGGCCAATCAGCTTTTTATTAGCCAGTGAGAGTAATACATATTCATAGTGTATGAAAAGATTGTTTCACAGTACTCAGTATAGACAAGACTCAGAAACCCACCTATCTCTGCCTCCCAAGTGCTAGGATTAAAGGCGTGCAGCACCGCCACCACCCTCCGTTGTATTTATTGTTTTTTAAGCTAAAGGATTCCAGATTTTTTTTTCTAATTTAGGAGCCTTCTTTTGAGTTAATGGTAAAATGTTTTCCTTTAACAAAAATTGGCTGACTTGCCATTTGACTTAGAAAAGGTTGTGTCCAAGGTACCTTGTTTGTATTATGTAATTTCCCGAGTTGGAATTTGAGAGATGGAGTCAATTCTCCATCTAGCACTGTCTGTTCTGATGCTGGCTGTGAAATAGAGCTTCCTTTTCAGTTGCAGTACAGTGATGTTTGTGCTGAAGCCTCTAGAGAGCGACAGTGAGTTTGAAGTGGTCATGTGGTTGCTATGAACCAGCAAGCTGTCATCTGAAGTATAGTTCTTCCTGACACAGGAGTAAGCTTTGTATATTTTCTTTTTGTGAAAGCACAGGAAGCACTTTCTGCGGATGCTGTTGCCGAGGAGACGACTCTGGGCGTGAGGAGTGGAAGCTGTGCTTGCAGCTGTGACTTCCTTTACTGAGCACAGCAGTAGTATGTGTTCACTCTGGAATGAGTGAGCACTCCAAAGTGAGCAAGGCAGGAAACGACACCGGCTCCTTTGCAGTGCATGTGCGCACCGTGTTTCTGTAGCACTTGTAACTTGCATCTTTTCAAGCCTGGATCCTTGCTGATCATCTTTCTGCTCATCTTGTTCTTTGAAAAGTTTTAGGGCCTGTACCAGAGCTTTTGTATACTCACCCAGAAGTCTTCAGAGTTACCCTGTAGCCTTTAGGAGCGAGACCACTTATTCTCCAGTGACTTCCAACAGATACTAGATGAGGTCTGTGTTTCCCCAGCTACCAAGCAGCTTTCTCTCCTGTGGGGCCCTTACTGAACTCTCTCTTGTTGGCTATCCAGAGGATTTTCACGGTGACTTTGGGTTTCTTATAATTTACATAGATAATTAGGGTCAAAATTATTAGGCTAATAAATATCATTACCAAACTGTTTTCTAGCAATACTTGCTAATATCCTTCTGACAGACAGTGTAGGTGCCTTTGTTTCTAACATAAACCCAGCAGCATCAAATACTGATATCTTTGTTGCCAAGGATATGGCTAAGAAGTTCTCATGATTGTTATTAGAAAAACTAGTCATCTTTCAATTTAGTTTGTCTACAGACATCTAATACATACACGACAGTGTTCTTTCCCTTTTCTGTTTTTTTATACTGAAGTATGTGATTTCTTTATGTGTAAAAATAAACCTCTGTAAATGTTTTTATAATTGCTGTTTTGATTTTGTATGCTCTTTGGGGATCTGGAATTTTTATATTTTTGTGTTGCCTGGTCTTTTTCTTCCTGTGGTTTCTTTAGTTATTTTTCTCTGTAGAAGATCCTCTCTCTCCGTGGATGTTAACACTCTCTTCTTGTCAGCAGTTGTGTTTGCACTTGACTGTTTACTCCATCGGGAGTTTACAGAGTACCTTTTTGTCCCTCACCCTCCAAATCTCGCTGTCCTAGTGCCACCACTTTACTAGGCCCCTTCTGTAGTGTCTTTAATGATACCTTTTTATTTTGGAAGTTATTCCATGAGGGTCTTTTTCTTGGCTTTGGAGTCAGCTAGACCTGGCTTTGAATTTCAGCTCTGTGTTTTAAACCCTGAGCAAATTGTTTAAGCTTTTCAAGTCTTAGTGTTTTATCTGAAGAATGAGCAGAACAAGAGCTAGTTGATTGCATTTTTATGTATGGAGAGTGGAATGTATACAGAGTTTAAAGTACCTGCCTTGTCTAATGCTTGCTCCAGAGGAAGAGGAGGTAAACGGCCCACTGTTATCCTTTTGGGTTATCATGTCGTTTTTATCCTCTTGATTATTAATATCTCCTCTATCCAGGGAGTATTTGCATGGGACACAGGCATCTTTTTATTTTTTTGTTCAGAGGGCACTGTAGAGCAGGAGCCACCCACATACCTATAGAGATTGCAAGTGCTACAGACTCAACAGGGCCCAGGACCCTTCATCTCTCAGCTGAGAACAATTTGCATAGACAGGAGAAGCCTTGAGTATTTGCGCCAATTCTAAATGAAATCACTTGTTCTATTAGGGCCTGCTTATGCTGGATCATACACA